TTCCTGCCTGATGAAGTCCCAGCACCATCCAACATCTGTTTTCCGAGGCTGACTGGAAGTGAGGTGCTACCGTGCAGGCAGTTTCAGGAGCAGGGAAAACTTAGGGATTTTCTCTCTCAACCTCTGATAGTGGGCTCAGCATGTTCACACTCTCCTAAGGGTACCTCAGAACTGAATCTTTCTGGAGTCCCCCAGAAGAAACTTAAAAGGCCACGTTCAAAGTATTTTTCACAAGTAATAAAGAGGTTGGGGCAGTTCCCAGCGTTGCAGCTGCAGCTCAAGGCTCAGGGATTTTTCCATGTCGCGATTTGCCCCTTCCATCACTTTTCCCCCTTTGTGCTCCTTGTGAGTGCCGAGTATCTGGTACCAAGGGAGACTTGCATGCAGACACTTATGTTTATTTTTGAAAATGGTTTTAAAAGAACAATAAGGGACTTGCAAATGGATCCAAGCAAAGATAGAAAAAGAACACAAAGGAGAAAACACTTTAGCAATAAGACAGGGGAGCACTGAGCTCTGCCAGCATCTCTGCAGGGTCTGCCACGTTGTTATTCATCCCTCAGCTTACGCTGACAGCCCGTGGCAGTCAGAGGGGCACTGTCCCATGGCTGACGGTCTGGGGGGACTTTGGCGTGCTGCAGAGGCTGCTGCCCTGCTCTCTGGGCTGTGCACCTGCACTGGCTCTGTGCTTATGGGACCAGGGTGGTTTAATTAAAGGTGGCAAAGCCACCTCCAGAGTTGCCTCTGGAAGGCGTCAGCTGCACCTGCAGAGCCTGCGAGTCGCTGGCACGGCATGTGTTGGCCCACTTCACTGGCTGCCTGCAGCTCCTGAAGTGCTTTCAAAGAGCAACCACTTCCCAGTGTCGAGTGCTCTCAATTGCCCGTATTTTTGGAATTGTTCAAGTCTTCCCCCAACACCATTCTCCTTTCCAAAGATGCCAGCTGAGAACTTTCCATGTCCAGGCCCCCCCCGTGCATCCCTCCAGGAAGCCGGGTGCAGTTTGTGGTGGGACACCTGCATCTGCTGGGCAGCGACCACAAATGCTTCCTGCAGAAGGGGCACAGCGGTGGCACTGATTGCAGAGGCTCCAGGGGCACACGTGCACCATGTGTCTGGGTCACAATTACAGCCGGTCGCAGCCCAGGCTGTCCTTGTGGCCACCAGACCTGGCTGGAAGAGGGATGGTGCTCACATACGGGTTTTTCCCAGAACCCTTGGGCTCAAACACAGCCTGAGGAAATAGCAGCTGCCTTGGAGGTCCCATCCCTCTGACAGGGGTGGCACCCAAGGAAAGGTGCGGGGAAGGAGAGGCACTAAGAGGGGAAGTGACTTTCTGAAGGCCCCGCATGCGGGGAGCTGTGCTGCCTTTCAGATCACACCAAGCTCCTTCACCCCAGGAAAGGGTGGAGTTCGCCCACATGCCCCCCTGACCAGCCTGTGTGTCTGACTCTGATCTGTCTCCCCCAGGTATCTCTCAGCCATGAGTGCACTCGTGCCATCATGAAGCTGATGTACTGCCCGCACTGCCGGGGCATGTCCAGCGTGAAGCCGTGCAACAACTACTGCCTGAACGTCGTGAAGGGCTGCCTGGCCAACCAAGCGGACCTGAACACCGAGTGGAAGTACCTGATGGGTAAGGTGACCCTACTCTGCTGCAGCACAGCTGCCTCTCACAGCACCTTTTGAACTCTCTGATGTAGTGTTTGGAAAGTAAAGAAAGGACCATTGGAGGCTCTTTTACACTACAGTTTCTCTGTCCATGATCTGATGCCTAGAAGCTATTGCAGGACATTTTGCTGGGCTTTACTACCATTAGAAAGGACACTGCTGGGCTGGCTAACAAGGGCTTAAAGAGTTTTCATCTTGCCTGTGCTCATTTGAGATTGCCCCCTCTTTGCATTCAAGTAATTCTTTCTTCCCTCCCAAGTGTTGAAGCTTAGGGACAGATCCTGCCACCTGTACACTGCCAGAGCTGCCTCCTCATCCACACCCAAGCACTTGTGAGAGCACAGGAGAAGCACTTGCTGCCCTCCTGGGGAGGTGGTCTAGAAACTAGCCATAAACTGTTTCCATGGGTGGAGAGCAAAGGGATCAGAATTGTGTACTTCTAAATGGGAAGAGGTGTCTTAAACAAATACATGGGGAGGGAGAAGTCACAGGCATCGCCAGGGATGGGAAAATTAGACTTGTATTTTAAATAAGAAAACAGCACATTTAATTTTTGTTTTGTCACTCTGCTAAGATGATGGGTCTCTTAAAGTGGGTTGTATGTGTATAGAGGTGTCCATTTCATTGAGTTTAAAAGCAGAAATATCACTGTGATGGTGTGGTCTGATCTCCTGTGCAACACGGGCTGGAAGACTTCAACCAGGCATTTCTGCAGGAAATTCTGCATTGCCTGATCAGACCGGCCATCTCTTTTAGGACCTCATGTGTCACTCAGCTGTTTTTCCAGAGCCTGTGGCTCCTGGTTTAAATGTGAACTGCTGCTGAGAATGGCTTGTGGAGCTGATGGGCATGGTTTAAGGCTGGTGAGGGTCTGTGTTTAGAAAATGGTGTGTTTCTGTTCCAGTGAATGTCCTCTCCCCAGCTGTAGTCCATCAGGGGAGATTGTTTGCAATGGTAAAGCTCTCACTCCTCCTTGTGCCCACACAACATCAGCCTGCAAACTCCTTTTTCTCTCCCAGGTTGTACATTTAGACCTGGAGTGGTCGGAGACCTGAGGGAGCCTTGATGTTTGTCTGGGCTCATGGAAGGCAGGCACCAGAGCAGTTGAGCTTTGGGCTTGGCCTTTTCCCTTGTCTTGGCTCCCGCTGCCTGGCCAGCAAGACTGCCAGCTCACTGACCAGCTGCAGCCCGGCAGGCTGGCTCAGAGTTGATGTGTGGTGGTGTTAACAATAAAAATCCCACTGAAGCTCAGGGAGTATCATCTGTCTCTCAAGGGACACTGCAAAATAAATATCGAACTGCTGCACGCAGAAGCCAGTGCACTTGCTCAGTGAGGTGTGTTGGCCAGCTGCCCGCCTCACGCTAGGGGCTAACGAACCAAGCGGCAACTTACTGCAGCTAATTGGAAGCACTCCCCATGAGAGCGGCTTGGGAGGCTGCTGTAAAAGAGGGGGACGAATATTCCCTTCCCCAAGGGTTTACACCATTTTTTTTTTTTTGATGGTGCTTTGGCCTTTCTGACCAGAGCAAGCCAAGTGTTACCTGTCACTGCTCTCCTGGCAGGATGACTGCCCGTCTCCTGAAAGGTCAATGTACAGCTCTCCTTGATTGACAGGGAGGCAATTCCAAGTGCGTTTTGCACTTATTCTGTCTTCCTCTTCCCCAAGAGACACTGTTCTTGTCAAGGGGTGATGGCTAGGAGCAAATTGGAGCTTCTTTCAAACTGCAGTTGGACATTTTAGTGTCAGAGGTCACGATTTGATCAAGGACTGGAGCAAGACGTAGAGTCAAAGGTAGCAGTTCACTGGCATTGTCCATTCTTCACCCTTCTCCAGGCCCTTCTCTGTAGCTGGAGAAGATTTTGTTACGCTAAACGCAGTCTTACTCTTTCAATTTGACAAATGAGGGCAGGTCAAATTAGGGGAGATTTTTATAGTAAGTGGTTGAAACATAATTTATCACTAATTTTGGGATGCAGCCTTTGATTTAAATGTCTCTATCTCAATATTACTGCTTCTGCAAGCTAAAATTGTCTGGAAAATACAGTCTTGAAGATGACACCGCAATCCCTGAGCAGCAGCAAAGTTAAACTGCAAGCTCTTTAATGTTGCAGGAGTTGTTATTTCCCAGAATACAAAACAACATTGCCCCCTTGTATGACATGTTTAGCTTTAGAAATCAGCGCTGCCATAGGACTGCGTTGCAGGAAAAGAGAGCACATTAACTTGGAAACAGTGGCCCTTGTTTCCATTCTTGCTCAAACTAACCAGCAAAACCTTTTTTCTTTTTTTTTTTTTTTTAAAAGTACTTGCTGAAAGTAAATACATAGTTTTTCCAAGCTGTGAATTTGCATCTTGTTAAATCCTATATTATAGACCCAAGCAAAGAGTATTTTGTGATCCACGCTCTAGACTGGCTGAAGTTTTAGCCCTCCCAGTTGTTTTTCTAATTACTTGTGCCATTGCTCCCCACTGGCTGGACCTGCTTTCAGACTGTGAGCCCGGTGGGCATGATCTGATATCTTCTGTGGATTTGTGCTATCCCTCATCTAGTCCTTGCCCAGCTTGGTCATTCTCTGAGAGCTGTCAGGGTCTGAACATCAATCGTGTAACAGCAGAGTGAACATACTTGCCAGGGTTGAGCGTGCTGTTAAATTGACCACAGTGGGCTCAGGATCATGCCTTTGTTATTAACATACTACCTCTACTGCAGACCTAGTGGTTCTGCACAAACCTCACCTAGACCTTGTGGAAGTCATTTGGGGTCTTTCTGCTGAGTCCTGCTGGCTTGCCCAGGCAAGGGACTGAACACTTTCCTAGCAGGTTTGAAATGATGGTAGTCCCTGGTTGTGCCCCAGCTGGCCAGACTCTTGATCAAAGGAAATTTGCTGTGTGGCTCAAAGATAAGCGTCAGTCCTTTAAAGCAGTATCACGGGTGACACATACACAGTGTGGGATGGGGTAGGTTGAAGGACATGTTTTACTGATACTCTGTTGAACTGCTGGGTATAATTCACCTGGTGGTTTCATTGCTCATGAATAATGTTGGCAGTACAAACTCATGCTGAATAAGCTTTTCTGCAACATCACACCATCTGCTGTGACAGTCTCCTGCCAGGCTGATGGGTGAGGTATCAGGATTTAGGACAGAAGAATTAATCACTCCTAATGAATAACTCCATTTGCAAATGGTACAGATCTCCAACCTAGACCCTGGGATTTGACCCTCTTTGTGTAGAGAGGAAGAACCAACATGAAGCCATCACACTTGCTTTCTTCCATGTGGTGAGGCCACAGGAATGTGAAGCACTTTCTGTTCCAGATCAGCACAGGACACCCCAACGCTCCGACAGATCCCTTGTCCTGCCAGGAGGTTTCTGGTGTGCCCTGGGCGTTGCAGACCACAATGGAGCCATCCGAGGTCACATGTAACTGAATGCCAAGTCCCTAAATGCTGATGAAGCTTATGCATGGCCTGGCCTCCGGCCTACATAAGCACAAGTGGTAGGAAACTGAGGCAGTAGCAGCATAGCAGTGACTTTCAGAATTAAAATTTTTGACTGGTAAAGTCAGACCTGGTTAAGATCCTATTTTAGACAACCAAACCCGGTTTTGGCCCTGCCCTGAGATCCTATTTAAATCTCACTGGACACTGAGGATGTCAGCCTTCCTCTGTAGTGGCATTCCCCAGTGCCTTGAGCCCTCTGAGCATATAGGCTGCCCTTGCTTCAGACCCATCTGGAGTGCTGAGAAACATCTCCGGAGGTAGGCAGAGATTGGTAATTTTTTTGTAAGCCAGGCACAGTCCCAAAGCAGCCATGAAGGCAGGAGCTTCCAGTCCAGGCAGGAGCTTCCAGGCCAGGCAGGAGCATTGGGACAGCAGAGTTTTCCAAGATAAGAGGAGCTGAGAGCAAGAGATACCCCTCAGTCACTCCCTGTCCTGTTTGCCAGTTTAGTTGTGGGCATTTTGGTCTACTGCTTGGCCTTCAGAGCCTGATATTTCCCTGGCTGGTCATGTGTTGTCCTTCCAGAGGTGATGGTGAGAAGAATTACTCCTTTTCTCACTCCTTCACTGCCACAGAAGCTATTGTCCACGTCCAGTACCTTTGGCACTTTGCAGACCCCAATCCTGCCACTTTCTGCTGGCTGCGTTGCTTTGCTGAAGATGCACAGTGAGTTAGGAGGATTAGGTCCAAGTATTGCTATGCAGTACTTAATATTTCAGCACCAATTTTTGATTTTTCCTTTCTGGAGCACCCCAGGAAATGTTGGTCACTTTGTGTTTCATGTACCATTTGCAGGAGGTGACCTCTGTTCCCCTGCCACTGAGCGTGGCTTTACCTATGTGCTGGGAAGGGACAGCTGTCCCATGCCAGAGAAAAACAAGCATGCACTTGGGCAGTAGTGAAAATGGGGAGATGTTTCTCAAGAAGCCTGCCAAGGGGCCAACAGCTTATCCCACCTGGCATGAGCATGATCTTTAACTTGGTTTGTACAGAGTCTGATGAGAGATGTCTCTGTCTTGTTTTACTAGATTCCCTGGTCGTAGTGGCTGATCGGATCGATGGACCATACAACGTAGACACTGTAATAGGGACTATTCACATGAGGATCGCTGAAGCTATTTCTAACTTGCAGGAAAACAAAGATTCAATCACAGCCAAGGTAAGAGTGTGTGCCTGGGCCTGGCTGAGGATACACCATGGATAACTGCCAGGACCAAATGTTTTTTGTGCTTGCTATTCAGCTGAACTAAAGGAGATGAAGGATGAAAGAGATCAAATGCCCAGTCTTTTAATGATAGGAAACCACCCATCTTACACAGGCAAAAGCCTTCTCAAGTGTTTCCAAATATTGCTGCCTGCCACATCCAGCCAGCCTCCTTTAGGTACAGACACACAACGTGGGACTGCATATGCAGTGACTGTGGGAGGCACGGTGCCATTTGCTATCCAGTGCCTCTGTGTCTGAAGAGTCCTAAAGTATTTTGGCTGAGCTGAGGCATTTACAGAAAGTGTGCAGTCCCTAGTGACAGAAGGCAGCTGCTTTAACCTGCCTTGGGGTGGTGTTCTGCAGGGTAACACTGGGCTATCAGGTTGTGTCTGTGGAACAGAGTTGCAATCTGGCAGTCCATCTGGAGAGTACAAAACAGGGTCTCCTGGTGCTCACCTGTCTTCCAAGAAGTATATCATGAAGCTCTCTTTTGTTGGTCTTCTAGTTTTAGTATATTCATCCACTTCACCACCATCACCTCTGTAGCTGCAGGTAAGAGAAGCTTTGGGAATAAAAACAGCCCTCCAGGGCTTCTGCTTTTTGCCCAGACGTTCCCCAAGATGTGCAGCTATCCCACAGTTAGGGCAGAGATGCAGATGAAAGGAGTGGGGCAGGTCCTAACTGGGTCTTGGAGAAGGGAGGGGGCCAGAAGTATTGCTTAGCCAAGCAGGAATTCACTGGCACACGTCAAAGGGCTAACAGCAGCATGCATACAAGTGCTCGTTTAGGTTTCTTTTCTGACATGAAAGGCCATATTCTTTCTTCCCTTGTTAGGTGAGACTGAGGTTGTCCACATAAAAGCAAGCCCATGGTGTGGGAAAACATGGCATCATCTGCAAAGAAAGGTGTTTCCGAGAGGCATATAGTAAATCTGGTAAAATGGAGTAAATAGTCTAATTGGTGTTTGACTGAAGCAACCAAACGTGTTTGATAAGCTTCTCAGTATGATCTGGTGGCCAGGTGAACGTGGCAGTCTTTGCTGGTGGCACTGGTAGCAGAGATCAGGAGCTGCAAATTGCTGCAGCGCTAAGCTCTAGTTTTGAGCACGGCAAAGTGATCGAGTAAAGGATATCGGTGTCAGATGAGCTTGGGACTGGCCCAGGCCAGTCCTGGGAGTCTTCTCTCGCAGGGCCGAGGGCAGCAGGCTGGGGCTGCAGCTGAGGGCTTCAAACATTACCAGCCTAGAGCTGGGGCACTGTCTGCCATTTGTGAGAAAAGCCACAAGTGGCCCTTGGACCCAGTGACGCCCTCAATCGTGGGTTCTCCTGGGATCTGGGGAAAAACCGGAAAGAAACACTTTTGGTACTGAGCCCTGTGTTCACTGCACTGTGGAGCACTCCCTGCTTCCTTGCACTCCCTCTCGCTCCCTGTGGCTCTCTGATGGATTTCAGGCAGCAGGAGCTATCAAAGGCTGCAAACGTCTCTTTGCTCTTGTTATGCAGGAGACTTTTGATCACCTCAGTCTGCAAGACACATGTTCTCTCCATCAGTAATGGGCATTGCTCACCTAAAGCCCTTGGGCTGGCAAGCGGATGGCCTTGATACCATGCTGTGCTGGAGCTGCTACAAGAGCCACTGTCCTGGAGGCCTCCCAGGGCTTTTACCTCCTGAAAGAGTTGTCTCCTGCTAACAACAGTAATAGGCCATTAAGAAAGATACAGCAGTGAAACCAAATTGGTTTTATTTTGGTAGAACCAAGTTGAAAATGCTCGACATGCAGTGTTCAAGGTGGGGCTTTTTGCACAGAGCAAAGGAGACAGATGAACAAATTGGCTTGGTGCTGAACTGCCATAGTTGTTGAATCCATCTGGTCAGCAGGACAGTGCACCCCAGGAGGAGGCTTTCTCAGCTGAATGTCCCTCAGACACACCGATGAGACCCACTGTCACCCAAGGGACTCTTGCCTAGATTAGGACTTTGCTGATGGCTGTCAGAATCCACTAGCAAAAGCATTCAGCAGCTGACACAGGCTGCATCAGCAGTGCTCCTGTCTGAGGTCTTTATTTCTCTGCTTTAAGGGGACACCGTGCAAAGTCGAATTTATTGATAGCTTCTGACAGCACCCTGGTAACCACAACCAGCTTGGAACCATCTTTTCAAATCAGGTGGCTTTCTTTGTAAAGGCTGGCATTTCCTGAATCAAACTGACAGTGCAAAGGCCCTCCTGACGTTTGACCCTTCATTAAATCTGGCTGTCCGAGCACTCCTTCCACCAGCCACAGTGAGGTGCAGTTGCTGGACAACCACTGGCTCTCTGCAGCAGAGGTGGCGTTGCCTGGACTGGTCATGCAGAGACTGGGAGAAACAGGCACTTCCAGGGCACCCTTTGTCTCCTCCTAGAGGCAAAGTCTGAGGATTTGTACCTTCAAAGTGCTTCTGCTCTCCTTTGGGTACAAAGCACGCCTGAGGAGGTAGTTAGGATGATGGGAAGTACCCAGAGTTAGGAGGTAAATCAGTTCAGCTTCCTCATTTGCCCCTGAAACATCCAACCTGACAGCCTGTGACACATCTACTGTCTTTGCACTCCCCTGGTTGGAGGGGGCATTCATTTGCTGAGCGTGGGTGCTGACTGCAAGAGGCATTGGAGTAGTCCCACTCGGTCTGTTGTCCAAATGCTCACATGCTCTACAATCTTGAAGCCCACACCACTGGTGTAATGAATGTGAGGAACGCCCATCTTGTTCTTCCCAGAATTTTATTTTTCAGTCATAATAGGAACAGATAAAATTGCTAGAAATAATTTAATATCAACATTGGTGACTCATCCGAAAACGTGCTAATTTTGTGTTAGTGCTGAACATTTTGCTTGGTAGTGGTAACCAAAACCACTGTGCTGAAAGCACATCCTGGCACAAGAGTAACCTGCCCAGAAACTAAGTCAGAATCTCGGAGGTCTTGCAGGTAGGAGAGATAAATATACTTAAGAAGGAAAAAAACTCGTAACTGTGGAGTGCTAATTCATTAAAGAAATAGCATCAAAACATGGGATAGAGAGTTTGGTTTGTTTTTCAGGTTTTCCAAGGCTGTGGAAATCCCAAAATCAGCACAAAAGGCTCCAGCACCGAGGACAAGAAGAGGCGGGGGAAGGTTGCATTGGAAGCAAAATCCTCTGCACAAGCATTGGAGATGCTGGTGAGTTTGCCTCCGAAGCTCCCTCCCTGCTGGTGTGCCAGGGCAGGCGTGCTGGTGCGCTGCCTCCCCTGGGAGCCCGGCCGGCGCAGCGCTGGGTCCTATGGGTTGGGGCAGGCCAGCCCGCAGGCTGCTGAATCGCCTTCGCTGGCGAGTCTGAAGAAGATCAGATCCATGAGTGCTTGGCGTGATCTAAGCAGATCTGATCTTGCCTCAGCACAGGGTTGGGGTCTAGGTTGCTGATAACCAATTTCTCGGGGATTTGGTCCCAAACTTATCTGAAAAGGTTCCTTGCCATTGGTGTCATTGAGACTCAGGCAGTCCAGCTTGGATACTGGGGCCAGAGGTCCTCCTCCATGGAGATTTTGGATTCTGTGGATGATGAGCTGTGGGATCTGCCATGGTCCCACATTTCAGAGGCTCCTCACTCACAGATACCTGCCTGTCCCACCAGCAGAGCCCTGCTGGCTCCCACCAAGGCTGCTTCTCAGCATTGCCCTCATGGCCCAGAAGATGATCTTCTCCTGGTTAATCTTAGAGTACCAGAACAGTCCTTAGCATGTAACCTTCAGCCTTGGGTGCTTGGGTCGACGGTTGGTCTTTAGAGGAGGGTTGGTGACACATCCCTGTCTGCATAAAAACAGATTTTGTGATGGTAAAACAAACAAAAAAAAAGGCAGAATCCATGTCGTTTCCACAGCCCTGGGGCACCCCAGAGCTCTCCTGGCTCTGAGCATCCTCTTTGTTTACAGGTTTTAGATGCCAAAGGGAATCTGACAGCTCTCAAGACTTACTGGATCACCCTGCCCGGCAGCCTGTGCAGCAAAAAAGTAATGGCCAGCTCAGCAGCGGATGACAAGTGTTGGAACGGGATGACCAAGGGCAGGTATGGAGAGGGTCAAGGTACCAGGATAGCGCTGTTCTGGGGTGAGAGAGGGAGGGTTTGATAAAAGGCCCTTATACATCATATCAGCCAACCCCACTTGTTGAGACTGAGCCAAAAGGTCTGTCCCTGTTCAAAGAAATGCTGCGTTTCCTGAAAAACTGGCACCCGGGAATGTCAAGACCGTTGTCATTTTGCTGTGTGTCAGAGGGTTAAGCATTGAAATGCATTTGCCATGAAATAACTGTGTAGGTTTGTACTGATGAAGCAGTTTTGCCATTCCACGCGCACTCAGAAGGCAGAAGGGCTGGATTTGCCTCACAAACTCCAGAGCTGTTGCTGAGAATTGCATACACATCTTTCTATCCATACCGGCTCTGAAATGCCATTTCCTCATGAGAGGAGGCACCCAGGTGACCTCAAACAGCTGCAGAAACGCCTCCCACCCATGGCTGACAGTTAAAGGATGGCTTTGAGGGGACATGGGCAGCTGCTGGACATGCACCTTTCTCCGCTCCTCTCCATGGACCTGCTGGACTGGTCTCTGCCAGCCCGGAGCCAGCGCCTTCAGTTCTTCCATATTTCACATCGTTGCCAACAGTGCCGCAGATCTGCGGGAGCAGATGGGCCCAGGCACTGCCGAAGGGAGCAGCGCAGCTCTGTTTGCTGGTGACAGCTCCCAGTTAATTGAAGCTTCCCTGGGGGCCTGTCTGGTCATACCTGGCTGGGGGCATTCAGTCGTCCCAGGGTGTCAGTCCCCAACAGGATTTAACCTGGGCTGGGATGAAGGTGCTCCTCAGCCTCCCATATGGATAGAGCTTTTCCACAGGGGTGTGTTACTGTGGCTCCACAGGTACCAGCCTGGGAGCAAGCCCTCAGCCCCGCGCACAGCCTTTACTGCAGGAAACCCCTCCCCGTGCTGGGACAGTGATGCTGCAAGGCCACCAGTCACCTCCTGCAAGCTGAGGTGGCCTCAGGGCGAGCCCCAGGCCCTGATGGGGTCTAGCTACGGCAGCATGGGTCCGCCTGCTGCCTCGCAGCAAACGGCAGCATATGGAGGCTGTTCGACAGGCCAACGCCACTGACTGCAGCTTCTCTGGGGTTCAAAGAGGCTGGATTATCACTGGTGTCTGTAATGGGGAGAGGTGAGCTTAGCTGGGGGGAGACATCTAAACCTGTCGCCTTCCTTCACAGTTACCTGCCTGAAGTGATGGGGGACGGCTTAGCTAACCAGATTAACAACCCAGAGGTGGAGGTGGACATCACCAAGCCAGATATGACCATTCGCCAGCAAATCATGCAGCTAAAGATCATGACAAACCGCCTGGGCAATGCTAACATCGGGAATGATGTGGATTTCCAAGACGCAAGTGAGTTTAGCAGAACCGGAGGGGTCCACAGCAGGCGAGAGGGGCTGAGCAGTCAGTCCTGGCAGCCCGGATGGGCCTGCGTGCAGACCTTGCAGCTGGGCCCTGATGGCAGAGAGGGGTTGTGGCGACTTGGCTTCTGGCTCGGGGCTGCGGAGGGTCTGTTCGAGTGCAGCCGACTTGCTGCAGGGTGGCTGGAGGCTGTGCTGCTCTCAGCGCCTTACTGAAACCTCGAGTGCTCTCTCAGTCCCAGCCCAGCCCTGCTGATGGGGCCACTGCTCCCGTTTGCTCCTGATGTTTCCAGCTGCTGCAGCAGCGGGTGGTTAAATTCAGCTGGAGATCAGGTACGGGCTTGCATCCCGTAGTGGGGGGTGCAAAGAAGAGGAGGTGGCCGGGGCAGGGCTGGTGGCCAGAGCTCCCCGGGGTTGCAGCAAGGGGAAGGCAGGGATGTTGCCCACCATAAGGAGGGCAGTCGGTGCTCACCCCACGTTTGTCTCTGTGCAGGTGATGACATGAGCGGCTCCGGGAGTGGTGACAGCTGTCCTGACGACGTCTGTGGCAAAAGACTTTCTAAGAGCCCCAGCACCAGGCAGCCAGAAACACACGCTATTCCTAAGCAGTCTGGACACGGCATCAATGGGGCCAGCAGCACATCTTTGCCTTCTGCCTTCCTCCTCCTCCTTTCGGTGGCTTTCATTGCCGCGCAGCACTTGTGGCGGTAACTCACTAGCACAGCCAGGAAAGAGACTGCAGCCGAGGGCTTCACTTTGCCAAAACCAACCAACCAACCAACCAACAAAAGGACATATTTAATTCACCTTGGCAAAAAAAAAAAAAAAAGGGAGGAGAAAAAGGTTTCAGTTGTTTGCTATTTCTGGCAGTGCTCGAGCTGTTTTCTTCTTTCTTGGTCTCTTCCCCGATGCTGGGCCCTTCTTTCCGTACCTCATTGTTTTACTTTTGTTATTGCCACAAACTGGCTCTGGGGGCTGAAACAAGCCTTTGCAGAGAGGCCTCCGGGGGGAACCCGGCCAGCCCCTCCGAGGGCAGCTCTTCTGCTGCCTCCAGTGGAATATGCAATTGCCCTGATGTTGTTACCCAGCTGCTGGCCAGAGCGCTGCTTACCATACCGCTGCCAAAAGCACGACGGTGCCAAAAGCAACGCCACTTCATAACGTGGAGAGACTGAGATCATCAGCGCTGCTCAAGTGCTGCATTCAGGGGCTCTTTCGGGTTTTTCCTCTGTACTTCCTAGGCAGGCAGAGATGGCCCTTCACTTCCAGCGGCGTACGTAGGAGCATGAGCAGGTTTGGTGGGTTGAACTGAAACAGTTTGGCAGTGGCTGTTGGACCCAAAAACGCAGAACTCCCTTTTTCTTTGGAAAGGTCACAAGTGGGTTTCTTGACTAGAGCTCGTAGCTGATGACAATTTGAAATGTAGGTCTCCTACATCTAAGTGACTGGGAATGAGTGTTAGGGTTTGGGGTTTGGGGTATTTTTTCTTTGCATGCTAGTTGGAAAGCCATTTTTTACCCAAGTGATAATGGTCCAATTTTTACCTGCAGTGCAGTACCGTCATAGGTAACAGAGAGATGAAAATAATCACTGTGGGATTCTCCACTTTACAGACAGTTGTGCTGCCTCCTCCTCCTCCTCTGGCCCCAGCTGTGGATGGGAATCCCTTTTTTTTTTTTTTTTTTTGCTAATAAGAAAGACCAGGGACTTTTTACTAACTGGAGCATTGTGACTGGTTGTGAGAGCTCACACCAGGCACATGCAGGAGTGACCCCCCAGGCAGCTGCCTTAGGGCAGAGAGGGGCTGGTAGCCATTAGCCCTGGGCAAGTGTCCCCACCCAGGAGACTGATTCAAGGTAGCACCTACTGGGGAGGACGTGGGGACGGGACATGTTTTGTTTGGGGGGATTTTTTTTGTTTTGGTGTTTGTTCCTGTTGCATTGTAGGTTTTTAAGTGAATCCCTGCTTTTCCTATCCCTTCCCCATCCTCCCATGCACCTTCCCTAACCGCTGCAGGGGTGGGGTGAGGCAGCAGGTCAGACACCCACCTGCAGCTCCATTTTGGCTCAGGGAAGGGCCAGGCTCACCCTCTGCTGCCCCGTCCCAACACGCATCAGCCTCTGGGTCACGCAGACGGCTGTCCTAACCCCAGAAGGCTTGGTGGGGCGTACTCCATGCCGGGTTTTGAGACTGGGGGTGGTCGGTGAAAGATATAAATTTCCTCACGTAGCTGTAGGAGTGTCTGTGCTTGTAGGGCTGTGTGCTTCGGGGCTTCCAGAAGGCTTCTGTACCTCACAGGTATGGCAAGCGTCAGCTGGAGATGTAGGTTTAGCAGATGTTATAGATACAACACAGTCACTGTGACCAGTTGGGCCAAGAGCACGCCCAGGGGTTGGGCTTCATTCGTACGGGGTTGGGTTTGACTTTCAAATGTGTTTGTACTGTGGGCAAGAGGGAGGGCAGAGGTGTATCTATCTCCTACTTTCCTGGTCTGCACAGCACATGTTGGAGCATTTCTCCTCTGTCCTGCCAGAGGAGACATGTCTTCAGGCTGAGCAAACATTATGGGGTTGGGGTTTGGCTGTTT